ATGCTGCAAGTGGCAGGCAGCCGGGGCCAGGTGCTGCTGCTGCTGCTACTGCTCAGTAGCACTGCCATGGAGGCGGGAGAGGCTCGCCAGCAGTGAGCCCAGCATCTAGCACCCAACTCCTGCATTGAGCGTCTGCCCCCTGGTGGTCAGTGTGTGTCATAGCGACCTGTCGACTGGTCGTTCGGTCGTTCAGTCGCTTAGGCTTTTATATATATAGATGAATAAAGACTATTATTTTGTCACAACTAACATGCACATGATAAACCACTAAATCTGATATTTAGTCTTAGTTCTGTTGACTGTGGAATTAGGAGATTTGAGTCAAAGCTAGTGAGACACAGGCTAGGTAGTGGCAAGCTCTTCCCAGCTCGGAGCATGAAATGCACTGCAAAAAGTTGGTGGGTGTTCTTTTGTTGGGGGTTTTGAGATCCAGCAGTGCTCCCCTTCTATACGTTATGGGACTCTGGCCTGATGGGTTTCAAGAGCTGATTTAGTCCAAATGGAATTTCTGATGAACTCACCATTGGATATGCCTGCTACATCAGGCAAGATCGGCCCTGCCATCCTCATCTTCATAAGGGAGGAACTGGGAAATATTAATTCTTCTACTTCCAAGCTAAAATGAACCTCAGAGATTAGCTGGCCCTTAGCCCTCACTTTACAAATGGGGAAACCAGCCCAGTGAAGAAAAGGGAGGGGGACATGACCACATGACTGTTGGGGCAGAGCTGGGTCTAACTGTAGATGGCCTCCACCTCTTCTTAGCAACTGGAGGTGCAAGGCCCTCTAGGAGGCCAGGGAGCCCTGGGTCTTTGCTGGACTCTGCATGCCTGGGCCAGGACACCCCTCCTCCCCCCGACCCCGCACACTCGGGGTTCTCCCCAGCAGTGTCTCCAGAACCATTCCTGCCCTCGCAGCCTTGCAGCCAAGGAGAAAGGCAGCTCCAAGGTCATAACTTAACCTGCATAATTAGAACATTCATTCCAGAGGGGGAAACATTTAAAAGATAAAGGACCTCTTTAAAGCGGATTCTTCCCCAAACATTTCCCCCCATAATTATAGTTGTGAGAAGTTATGGCGATGGCGGAGCTGGCTACTTAAGAAAAATTAGGAGTCTCATTTGGCAGGAGAGGATTTCCCAGGGGACAACACACTGTCATTTTTTTAGGGCCCCCGGAAAGGAACCACACGCCGATGGCTACAGGCCGGCCTGATGCATGGCAAGTTTGCTTCACTTATTATAGCCAATCAATGTCTCTCCAGAGAACGGAAAACACTTCATATGCCACTGAATGTTGTTCCCCCTCCAGTCCCCAGACACAGGAGTTCGAGGAGATAGAACCAAGCGGATGCATTGGAGATGCACAGGGAGACCCCCGCCTACTGAGTCACCACCACGGTAGTGACCACCTCCTACTGAGTCCCAGCCTGCGGGCCTCCCCAACAAAATGCCTCTGCCAGCAATGTGTTCCCTCGGTAATTGTCACAGTTTAAGGCAGTTATCGTGACAGGAGGAGGGGCCATGGGGAGAGCAGGAAAGTCACACGCCACCACTTGCCTTAACTTCTGAGCAAACCCTCCTGTTACAAAGAACCTTCGTGATAAATAAAGTGCTATGGCCACCTATGGGGCTGTGGCTTTATTTTATTCTTTGTTAATTTCATTTATTAATTTATTTAGCACAAAAGTTCCATTTGGGGGGTAATCACTTCCAACTGTGAGCTCGGTCAGATAGGAGTCTCAGTGGAGACGACACTTGTGTAATTGTAGGCGGTTCAAGTTTAAAAATTTCAGCCTGATTTGGACTGTCACTGGCCGGACCACCTCTCTTCCCAGAGGAGCACCAGCAGGGCAGCTGGATTTAATTTTCCGCTGCTGGACGGTCCCTGTGCTGTCCTGGGGCAGCCCACAGACTGAGTGGCTTCCCTTTAAGGATGTTATTCAAGGTGACAGCTCCTCACATGTTGGCACTCTGATCACCCTCAGTAGCCAAGGTATCGGGGGATGAGCGGGCTCCTCCTGCAAAGTCCAGATTTATGGACTGAGGTCATCTGTAGGCCCCTTAACCCCAGCGCTGTCACAGAAAGGGCTGCCAGGACCTTTACAGCCACGGCGAGTTTTGTAAAGACGTCTGGGGAGAAAGTCTGCAGGAGCGGGTGGAGGAGACCCCAGTGATAGGGAGTGATGTCAGCTTTTGTTAGAGCCGCAGACAGCGTTAGAATATCCTTGGCATAATATGGCCCTGGTATCTCTGTCAGCATCTCTGTTTTCTGTCACCACACACAATCCTGGGCCTGTCTCCTGCCCTGACAGTGTCTGTTCAGATCAGGGCATTGCCCGCACAGAGACCAGCCCTGCTCCCTGCCACACAGCCCCTTTGTTTGAAGTCTGCCCTTTTGTCATTAATGCACTTGGTGTCTATTTAAATCTGACAGTGAGTGTGGTATCTGTTTTCCCGTCAAGAGATCATTGACAATATTAATACCTCATGTCCTTGCCTCGTTTTCCAAGCTCTGACACCTCCCTGCGTCTCCTGCATTCATCAGGCAGCCTCTCTCACCAGGATGCCTATAAACCGTCTTGCTTCCAGGCCCAAAGCAGCCCCTAAAACAGGACTTTTATCAATGCCAACCAGAGAGAAGGACTGGGGAACATGGCTCAGAACATGTCACCTTCCTCTACGTCAGGGCCCGTGTTCCAGGGGTAACAGCCTATTTCCTGGATGGCATCTGAGGCCCAGGTTTCATCTAGGCCAGATCCGGAGCTGGGGTTTACCATGGGGAGAGGGCAGAGGAAAGAAATCCAATCTGAATGTGCTGGGAAGTTTGCAGGAGGGAATGAATACACCCACTGGAGTGTGGTGTGTGTGTGTCTGCCTTGCATTCTTTTACTCAAGAGCAAGACTGTGCTCTTTATGATATCTGACAACCCTATCCATTTTTTCTTTTTTTGTATAAAAATGCATGCTTTCCTGGTGCTGTAGAGAGATATTCACATCTCTCCGCCTCATTCTTCCAGATTCTTCATGGGTGAATTTGAGTCAATTATGTTTAAGGAAGCCCCTTGTGGATTTTCAGAAACATCTGAGATACTCCCACCCAGGCCTGTAGGGGATGCTATTCCTGGAACAGATTCTAACCAGCCAAGCCCACAGACAGGTCTGGGCATTGGGAACAATGTCAGTCCCACCCGAGGTGTTACACAGTTAAGCCCAATAAAGAGAAGAGCTCAATGGCAATAGCTAAAAGAATCATCTGGGCCTGAAGAAAGGATTCAGGGAGGTTTGATCCAAGCTCAGTGTTTCCAGGCACCGGACCCAAACTGAAAAACAGAAATTGGGGATAGGAAGCTGAGAAGAAAGTGTGGCCAAGGGGGAAGTGTGGGCCACAGCAAACTTGCTCATGGGAATGTGGTAAAAAGTAGAAGGAATGAGAGCATCACCAAGACCAGTTTGGAGGCCATGGGAGAGTATCATGCTCTCACCAACTCTCAGATTCTGTGACCCCAGCAATTCCCAGCTTTGTCCCAAGTCATTCAAACCTAGGAGCATCTGCCCTGTCCTTAAAAGTTTCGGAGTCATTTTTTAATCCTTAATTAAGAAGAAGATTTAAAGTTCTGCAATGGAGAAATATCTCTTATACAAACACCAAATATTTACTAGTTAGAACTTGTGATGTGAAGGACCTGGATAATTTCAAATGCTAATTTATCCCAAATGAAAAATAGCTGGTGATTGTTGGTTTCCTACTCCCACACTGATGGGAAAAATCATACATATAGGTAGGTAGCTATTTTTATAGGCTGATTTGTGGCTCATGAATTAATGTTTTATGGACATTTCCTTGTTGTTGTTTTTTTTTCTGGTGACTCAAGTGCTATTAGTAACAAGACAGCTGTGGAGCTGATTTTTAAGTTTTTCTAAAAGTAGAAGAAAAAACAAGGTGGCAAAAATCAAATTGTAGTTTAAATATTTTCTTGGAAAAACTTATTTTTCATTAATAATCCTACAAAGCTTTTATAATAACTATGGTAGGTGATTTCTTGTGGATATTTAAAAGAAATATTGAGTCGATTAAAAGGTTTGAACTTATTCTAAGGGTATTTTTCATAGTTAAATCCTCCCATAACTTCCTTGAGTGAAAGGAAAGCTGTATATGGAGCTATACAATTATTTAAAATAAAACTGAAAATGAAAATCATGCCTAGCTGGTTTGGCTCAGTGGATAGAGTGTTGGCCTGAGGACTGAAGGGCCCCGGGTTTGACTCCCGTCAAGGGCACATGCCTGGGTTTCGAGCTCTATCCCCAGTGTGGGGGTGTGCAGGAGGCAGCCGATCAATGCTTCTCTCTCATCATTGATGTTTCTCTCTCTCTCCCTCTCCCTTCCTCTCCGAAATCAATAAAAATATATTTTTTAAAAAATAAAATCAAATGTATTCCTACCTGAGACTACAGTTCAGCCTGTGAGAAGGAGCCTTTAACGTCCAGGCTCTTGTGACTTTCCATGTGGCATGTGGTCAGCACCACCCTCTTCCTTACTCATCCCCTTAAGTGCTTGATGCCTCCTGGGAGCTGGAAGGTCCTTCTAGGAAGGTAATAATATTGACTCATGACAGAGGACTGAAAAGAGTCACACTCAGGAAAGACTGTGCCACATCTTTTGCTTGGGCTGGGCTCATCTTTAAATTCTTAATTTTCCATTTTTAGAAACTGCTAAGAGAACCTGGAGAGAGGAGAGGGTTATCTTTCTTTTGAGGAGTAATTGGCCAAACTAGAAAAGTCTCTAAAATGGGGGAAACCAAGATATTCTGGGCACCTGTGCTCTGCTGACATTTCATTTGAATGTCAATGGTGAGGACAAGAAGGGAGGGTCCTTCCCTGTGGGACTTACTCCTTCTGCTGCCACCCGTGGGATCTGGACTGTGTTGTGTTCTGCTTTGCAGTACCTATTCAGTTCCTGCTGGACTGTGGTTTGTAACGACGTGTCTCCTTCTCTTTGCAGGTGTCCTGGGGAAGTGTCGCTATGTTTACTACGGGAAGAACTCAGAGGGCAACAGGTTTATCCGGGATGACCAGCTCTGAAGGCAAGTTCTGTACGCCTTAGCCCATGTCATGAGGATTTACCAGTAAGCAAAAAGGGAAAGCAGAAATAAAGAAAAAGCTGAAGAAAAAAGACAATGCCCACACGGCATCTCTGTGGGAAGGCTACCACTTCGGCTTTTGGTACCTTCTGCTGACTTCGCCAGGCCTGTCAACATCATCTTTCTGCCTTAGACTGAGTGGTCACATAGAGATTGACATGATTGCCCTTAAGCAGGTCTCATCCACCAGGGTGACAGGCAGCAGCGGCGATGCACCAGGGCTGACAGGATGAACACCATGATAGATTGCCTGGCCCTCCGCGGCTCACGGGGGAGCAGAGGTCACACCTGGGGCCTCCCTGAGCATGCTCAGTGGCTGTAATCTGAGAGAGAGACTGTCTTCAGCTTGCCTGCTGAGTAGAGATCCCTCTGATACCATTGTCCTAGGGTTTTTTTTTTTAGTGAAATAGTCACCGTTTTGAGGAAGCCCACTCTCTTTTATTCCTCGTAAGTATTTATCTCATATTCTCCATGCCCCTCCCCATTCTTTAGTATCTTTATCACAGGTTTGCAATTTTTCAGAGAGCAGAAGGTGTATGTTCTCAGCCAGGCCATTCATGTATGGCCAGTTGCATGTTGTCACACTTTCTGAATTGGTGTAGCTAGCTTTCCCTAAATCCCTGACTATAAAAGCATGGAACTGACCTTGTTCTGTTCATTTCTAAATCCATGTCTTGCCTTGAATACTTGGCAGTGTCAGGCATCTTTTCCAGCACCAGGTTCTGGGTATATCAGGGACTTTTAATATTTTTAATTCATTCATTCATTCATTCATTCACTCATTAACTCATTCCTTCATTCATTCATTCACTCATTCATTCATTCACTCATTCATTTCTAACCACACATACCTCCTACTATATCTATGGCAATAGTTGTGCTTGGAGCTAGCTTGTTCCTTTGGGTGCTATTTCAAGGTAGCAAGATGATAAAAGAAAGTGGTGCATCAGAAGATAAGAGAGAAGGGAAGACTATAGAAAATGTTTACCAGACCAATCAGTTTTAATGGATGCCACAAATCCTTTCAATTTGGTATCTTTCTCAGGACCTCTCAGAAATTAAATCCATAGCTGGTGCGTCTTGGACGATATTCCAGCACCAGTGTTTCAAGGAAAATAAGCATGATCAGACTGTTTGGGGGGCTTTAGTGTCATTTAATATATTAGTACAGCAGTAAAATCGCTCTGGAAGATACTGGAAATGTTGGTTGCTTCTGACATGACAGCATTTATTTTTGCTTCTATTTAGACCTGGTGTTCATTGTATCTCCCAGTTTTGTTTAGTTTGAGGACAGAAAAACCTGAAAGAGAATCCTTCTAGTTATAGGTACCAAATAACTAGAATTGCTATTGTTAAACTGTTTGGGGAGTCAGGATCCCTGAAACACCCAAGAAGAACCTGTTTGCTCAGTTCTAGCCCATTTACATGGACTCAGGTACTGAGTCAACACAGTCCTTGGATGACTTTCATGGGGCCTGGCCGGAGTCCCTCTTGTAGATTATGTAACCTTTGATCATCAGATATTTAGCTTAAAATCCTCAAGACCATTAAGGGAGGATATTGAATGCCTGCCTTTATTTCTCAGATCCATGAATAACCAGAGTCAAGTACCTTTTTTTGTTTTTGATCTATAAAACAGCATTGGGATAATGCTTTAAATTAGCTGCATTGGGTCCCACCCTAGTTCTTTGTTTTGTCCTTGGCATATTATGGGCAGCCAGAGTTCTGCGCAAGGGCAGCTAGACTAGTCCCATGTCATATCCAATCTCGCGGCACATATATCCGTGTCTTTATAAAAGGCTTTAACCCTGCCTCAAACAATAAAAAAGCACTTGTGAACTGACCACAGAATTTTTCCATCTTTATTTTTCTCACTTGTTTACTTTTCTTAATGTCAGAACCATTTGTATCATACGCAGGAATGTCTCCCTCAGTGAGAGCTTTGGAGGCAAAAAATATTTTTGGAGTGAGTTATTGACCACATTGTTTCCCTCTCTTTGGGTTGTTTATGTTCTTCCAAAACGGTGTAATAACTTTAATTAAGATTAGCTTTAATTATAATTTACGCAAAAGCCATCACTACAGTATATTCATCTTAATGATAGGATTGTAGTGAGTTTTGTTTCTCTTAAAAAGGAATATGGTAATGAATTCATGTTGGGTCATTGGCGATTCCGCTGTTTGTTAAGCAAGATTTGCTGGCCTGGAGTTACTGGTCTGCGCTGGTAGAGAAGGAAGCCATGCTGTGTGCTTAACTCCATAGAAATTTCTCAAACCTTGTTTTACAAAGTAGAGGATTAGAAGGTAATAAGTTCAATCAAAACTCATACATCTTTCATATGCTTTTTTTCTACCCTTGGTCTTTCTGCTTTTTACCCTGTTCCACTGAGCGTTTTCTTTGGGGATCATGGTGTCCCTGAGTCCTCTCTCCCCGGATGCTGATCTGACTTGAGAGCGCCCTGCATCCTGGAGTCTTCTGTTGCCTCAGCAAAGTCAGGGCGGACTGTCTTCTTCCTAAGGAACATAATTTTATAGAACAATTTGTTCCTTGAGGAATAATGTTTTAGATTGTGGGGAATCCTATTAAAAGTACAACTATTACAATCATTTGCTTTTACTTTTACCAGCCTTGCTCATAAACCCTCCATCTGTTTGTGGCTTTAAATAGAGGCACATTATAGGAGATTATCACTCGATCAGGCTGCACATCTGAGTGTGGTGCACTTTCACATACTCATGTGTAGCAAGGAGTAGAGGAAAGCAAGCCACAGACTCTGATGAAGGGATTTTTCGCTTGGTTTTTCCATTTTTATGTGTGTGTGTATGTGTGTGTGTGTGTGTGTGTGTGTGTGTGTGTGTGTAGGGTGGGGAGGGTTTCCATCAGAGATGTATCTTGCAGAGTTTCAAGGGAAAAATGTCTTTCTTGCTTCTTCTAAGAAGTAACTTGACTATCTTTCTGTTTTTTGTTAATATGCAGATTAACAGGGCTCTTTTCATCAAAACAGTAGCAGTGTTCAGTAGTCACGACTTACAAGAGCAGCCTCAGTCACACCTGCATCACTGCCCACTGCCCGGGGTGGACAGCGCAGGGCCCATAAAGGGTGTTCCATGTTGTCTGTCCATCACAGTTAACCTAATGTGACATTCACCAACTGCTTCTCCCAGTTCTGTCTTCCAGAGAAAGCCTCACCAAAGAAGGTTGTTTCCATTGCTTGATTCAGCTCTAATTGGCACAAATACCATGTTGTAAAGTGACTAAGACCTGGAATAGGAAATGAGACCAGAGCACAGAACATGTTGGTTACATGTTTGTGTGACAAACCAACCACCAGCCCTGGGTGGAGTACTGCATATCACTTTCAGTGCACCAGCAAACACCTAGGGCAGTGGTCGGCAAACCGTGGCTCGCGAGCCACATGCAGCTCTTTGGCCCCTTGAGTGTGGCTCTTTCACAAAATACCACGTGCGGGCACGCACGTACAGTGCGATTGAAACTTCGTGGCCCATGCGCAGAAGTCGGTTTTCGGCCTGAGCAATTCTATTTTGAAGAAGTGGCGTTAGAAGAAGTGGGGGTACGTTCGCTGAGGTCGACCCCTCAGATTGAGGACGTTTTTAGCAAAGGCCAGCTTAGGAGTACCCTAATTAAGTTAATAACAATGTACCTACCTGTATAGTTTAAGTTTAAAAAATTTGGCTCTCAAAAGAAATTTCAATCGTTGTACTGTTGATATTTGGCTCTGTTGACTAATGAATTTGCCGACCACTGACCTAGGGGATTTGAAGAACATTAAAAGACAAGTCACCTGTCCAAAAATCCCATCTTCCTACGAGTTTATCTGAAATTTTCCAGTGTTAGTGTTTTCCTTTGGGTAACTATAATTCTAAATGTTAATTTGTCACTTTGTGGATGGGGTAGGTAATAAGTTATGTTATTCATACATATTAGCATTGCTACTCTTTCTAAAGTAGCATGGCATGTGGCCTGGAGGACATGTAACCTAGGACAAGGGAGTTTTGCTAAGAAAGAAGATAGAAAATTCTAAGTATGGAGTGTAGTGGGGGTAATCTGCTAAAGCAGGGCTGATGCAAATGGGAATAAACTGAATTATTCCAAAGGAGATGATGAAGCAGAGCTCCGCGTCGAATTAAAGTGTGGGCGCAGTGGGCAAGGACACACAGGGAGCTGAAGGAACAATGAGAGAGGAAGGCAAGGGACAGTTTTCTGTCTGCCGTGTGTTCATCCAGACCTCCATCTCTGGAGGATCTTAAAGCCGAGACTATAAATGCAATTCTATCATTGAGGGACAGCAGAGTAAAGTTTTTATGAAGTTTGAAAATCAACTAGAGTAATGTGTGGCCCAAGACAGTGGTTATGTTGAATTTTAAGAAGAAACATATCAATACTTTGAAACAGAAATACTTAACTTTTCAAATATTGTTAATGTAAGTTAGTAGCACTTGCACTTCTGAAGTGATTCAAGCTAAAACCTACACTAAGACTCTTGGGATGCCCTGTTATCTAGATACAGTAACTTGGTTTCCACGTGTTAGCAAATATCTTTTGAGAGCCTATGAAGTATATACCTTTTAACTTTATGTATTGTCTTTGGGGGAGGATATTTATAATTTTGATGTGATCAATTTTCTTAATGTTTATGATATATGTATGGGAGAGTTACAGGGGCTGTGATGTGTCTGAGAAATTCTTCAATCTTAAAATCAAAGTTATTCTTCTACAATTTCTTTTAAAAGTTATAAAATTTTGCCTTGAATATTTAGGTGTTCAGTCCTTCTGGAATGGACTGTGTGTTGGTGTGATGCAGGCTCATAATTAAACTTTTTGACTACATGGCTGGCTTATTGTTCTGCTTCTTTTTTTCTCCTTTTCAATGCCATCCATTTCTGTAAATGCTAAATTTCTGTATATATTTGGAATTGTTT